AGAGCTTGATGTTTTGTGTTTGTTCCATTATTTAAAAACACCAGCAGTGATTCAAGTTCCTCTTCTGAAGAGGATGTAACAAAGTCTACTGAGCTAAAAGTGAAGACCTGGTGCACAGTGTGTGTGTATGTGTAAATATGTGTATATATATACATATATATGTGTGTGTGTGTGTATATGCGTATGTACACACCTACATAGTGTATTTTTGTGTGTGACATGCACACATGGGTAGGCATATGGAAGGCTGTGAAAATGGTTTGTGATTTGTAGTCCTTTTCTTGAGGATAATCAATGCCACGGGAAATGGAGCTCTTCCATGCCCAAAATCCTGTTCACACGTAACACCTTTCCCCAGTGCAGGGGTGGAGACTTCATTTTACAGCTTGCCAGCAAATGCAGCAAAATGGTTAGCAGGCTATATACGCTTTCTATAGTTGCTGAAATCAAATTAATTTGATTATTAAATAAATAAATAAAGCAGTAGTGATCACTGGGAACAAGGAATGCGAATTCATCCAGCCCTTGACATTTCCTGTAAGGCTCTTATTAACAGTGTGCTGTTGCACAGAGATCTTTACGTGGAAAACGACCCTCGACGTTTCTCCAGCTCTCATCCTTGTTGGATCAAGGATGAATTCAGGCCCATGAGCATGTTTTTGTTCTGACCATCTTCCCTGAGCTTCCTTGGGTAGAGTAACCTCTGTGGATCACTAAGCCAGCAGTGCTGATTCCTGAGTGTGTCGTGTGTGGGTCTCTCTTCCTTTTTCTACAGTTCCTCTTTTATTATTATTTATCCCTCTTTCTTTCTTATTGTTTGATGTTGAGTAAGAGCAGTCGGTTAAAGGACAAATTCCTCCTGCAGCGGGGGAAAAAATAAAAATTCAAAGAGGAAAAACATTGTTTACTTGTTTGAAGATTTGCGATTACTGGATATTACTATCACTCTAAAACAAAATAGTTGCTTTGTGTTTTCCAGAATCTTGATCTTCGTTTAGATATTAGATTGTCGTTTTAAAGGTATTCCTTGTCTTTCCTTCCATAAAGTGTAAGAACTTCTTTTTTGTGCGTGTTCAAAAACAAACAAACAAAAAATTCTCTTTGTCAGGGTTCCTTTCTATTTTGAGCAGAATGGCTGCCCTCTGCAGGTAACTCTCTTCAACTATCTGTCCAGGTATCCGAGTAGCGGGATCCAGTCAATGCTTCTCCTCTTGCTTGTGGTGAAGCAGAAGTTAGGATCCTGGCTGCTGCACTGGGCAGGAGCGGGCACGGAGCGGGAAGCTGAGCTGAGCTGCCAGCCCTCCCTCTCCCCCTGTTGATGGGGGTAGCGATGAGCTCTAGCTGGATGTAACAGCAACCCTTGCTGGAGGCTAAGTTTCAAGTGAATGGTAGCCCCCAATGGATGCTGAAACTGGGAGGTAACTGGTAACTTGAGAGAGAAACGTTGAAAATCAAATGCAAGAAATTACACTGAGGAAGTCTTTCTGGCCTAAGGAATAAATAGTTTCCCCATAGTTGGACAGTGTTTGCACTTTTTTTTCCCCTGATCTTCCTCAACGGCAGGAATGACTTTCTTCGTGTCTGTCTTAATGACTCAGAGATGACTGTATATCCCTGCTACTTCTTTTCTTCTTCTCCTCTTCAGTCCCATCTATGCAGGTTATACTGTCCAAGCACTTCCATGGATCACCTAAGAAAGGACCAAATGCCTCTCCAAGGTGGAAGTGCTTAAGAAACCTAAGCATAAAGGTGTGAGAGGAGAACAACTGCAGCTTTAACCTGAATTTGCTTTTTTTGTTTCCTCTTGGCTCTCTCTGCAGTGACCATCTCACAGTTGAGCACAACGCCTCATCTCATCCCAAAATGCTGTTCTGGCACAGCCAGCCTGAGCATTATTACCATCAGCAGTACCCCACCACCAGCAGCAGCTACCTGCGGTAAGAGATGAAGGGCTGGGGATGATTTTAAATAATAATCATGTATATGTGTGTACATATACGTATGCACATCTGCAAGAATGCATGTACTCTGCTAATTCTCAAGCTTTCAGCAGAGCTGGGGATCCCCGACCCTTTAGGAAAAGGCTGAGCAGCACAGTCACCATGCGGAGATTTGTTTTGCTCTAGTCTCAGTCTGTACAAACGATGCCACCATACCCATGAGCAACGGAAACTGTTCATTGCTTCATGTTAACTTCTTATGTTTTATCTTTCATATTCCTGCAGCTTCTATTTAAAACTGCTACCAAGTAATACAGAGTCATATACCTCAGTATTTCATTAGTGCTATAAAAATTGTCTTTTATTTACTGAAGCTCAATTAATCTGTAGTATTGAAAATGAGAGCTTCTTGTTAACTGGTGTCTGGATTTATGACATTTTGCATTGAAATTCTGATGCAATGTGTAGTTTATTGCATCAGCATCTCCATACAAGCTATAAACTTACTACTTCATGGCTAAAATATTATTTGTGTCTGGTGTTTTTTTTTTCCTTCTTGTAACTAAAAATGACTTAGCTTTTGCCAAAACCTAAGGCTAGTTCAGAACTTCCAGCTAGTCTTGACATTAAAATCTCAATTTATAATGTGATTCCATCTCCGCCTTAACCTTTAACACTTTCTGGCTAAAAACAATGTGTGTAAACATGACAGTGTTAAATAATCTGCTTTGATTTTTGTTTGTTGGTAAAGTCTCATACCAAGTTCTGGATCACAGTATTACTTCTGCTCTTGTGGAACTGTCGAGTAGGATGATGCTGTTAGAAATGTGCTCATGGTCTGGGGGTTTAAAAAGAAGTACTGCTGTATTTGAGTCCTCATAAATGTGAAACTTATGATATTTTGCAGTGGGGCTTTATATAACCAAGTAAATGCAACACAAAAGTCAGGGTGATCCGAAGCTTAGAAAATGCAAGTGTGTGTCAAACACCCCAGTTGTTTCCAGTGACCCAAACAGCGAGGCTGAAAAGAGGGTATGGCAAGTGGATAAACCAGTTTTGCTGTGGGTACAGCAAACTGGGTCTGGCTTCTCTAGTCTTTGATCTTGCTTCTAAATTACCTCTGGCTGTCAGAAGCAGAAATCTCACCACTCTCAGGTGACCAGCCTTCTTCTGTATCACTTTTGGGTCTAACGTACCCAGGCTTGTTTCTATAAGCCAACTTTAGGTTTACAAATGCCTCCCTCAAGAGTAACGTCTGAGTTTTGGGTTTAACTTTTTAATACCATAAGGTTTTGAGCTGACCTGTATCCATGCCTGTTGCACTATAACCATTCCACAACAGTCATGGAGATTAATAACCCCATCATCTGGGTAGTTATCCTTCTTCAGAACTGCTGACAAATATTTCTGTCTCAATAATAAATTACACCTGGGGCCTTGCTGCCTTTTTGCCAGGTTTAAAAGAGGCGATTTGCATGGAGTACTTTTCAGTTACTCTCACAAAAGCAGCTAGTGTCCGTGTAAGTGACTGGACCAACCTCAGGCCCTCTTCCCAAGTCTCCCTTTCCTGGGACTCTTTGTAAGGGCAGACAAAATTCTCTTCTGGCTGCAGCCAGGCCTGGGAACTCTGAAATCTGCTACAGCAGCAGAAGCAAAGCAGTATCTTCAAAACAGCACAGAAAAAGTGACCAGTATTGCTTAAAGTGTACTCCTATACGCACAAAATATATTGTGCTGTCTCAGCTCTCTCTGGTTTGCTCACTAGGCAGAACGTTTCAACTCCTAGTAAAATTATCCAGCAATCCTCTGAACAACTGAGTTTTTTTAGAGTCTTTCTGTATAGCTGGTCTTAGGTCATTTATATTACTAGCATTTTGGGTCGTTAATTATAATTGCTATCATATTAAGATATCGTAATTATATCGCTACCATAATGGGTCATTAGTATTACGGTAGTACTTAGGTTAAGGGTGTCTAGGGCAGCCGCTCAAGCGGCTCTTGCACCCCTCCCTCCTCCTCCTTTCCAAGTGCAGGGCTGCTAGCGTTGATGGCAATTCGTCGCTGCGCGTTCAGCTGGGTCCTGAATCCCTTCCTTGGAGAATACGAAGCCGCTGCATAGAGCAGCTGCATGACGGAGAACGGCCGCAGTTACACGTCCCCGGGCAGCAGATTCCTGGCGCAGGATGACAAGCTCGGCCCCACCATCCGCGCGGCTGAGCCGCAACCCCGCCGCACCTCAACGGCCCGCGCGTAACCGCCGGCGCGCGCTCCCG